TCGGCTAAATTTCAGTTAAACAATTAAAAAACAAAAAGCATTCATACTGCAGAAAATAAAATTCACCCCATCGACTCCATGGACACCCCAGCATTGCAATAAAAACTTGATTAATAAAAAAAAACACCCCACCATTGCGTGTGGCGCCCTCCCTCTCTTGGGGTGCAGTACTACGATGCAGCTGGGGTCACTCAAACCGCCAAAACTGAGCATCTACTTTAGTCAATCCTCTTTGGCTGCCAACGTTCGTTGGTTATTCCAGTGATGGGGACTACATTGTAACGCGTATTAAGATTGCAACACGGTACACATATAAGCCACGTACGAACTACTTTCACTGCCTCTTCCTCATTAAGAGTAGAGTTGTGTTCACGTGTGGTTGTGTCTCCTTTTTACCACTAAAATAGGTCACACAACCCACCTCCATTCGTGAAATAACTCTTTAAAAGTTATAAAAACAAAAAAAAACAAAAAAAACTAAAAAAACTCAAAAACCTACAAAAAACCTTCAAAAAAAAAATCAACAAAAACACGTAAAAACCATTAAAATCCAAAAAAAATCGAAAAACCGTAGGTAACGTGAATTAAATCGCGAAGCAAAATACGTTTGTTTCTTGATAATAAAATCGTAAAACAGGAGGAAAGCGGCAGGGAACAAGAGAGTTGAAATAAAAAAATATAAAATACTAAAAAAAGAGAAAAACTACCCAAAAAATCGTAAAAAGAGGCCGTGTGTGTTGTGCGACGACGAGGCTTTCTGGCAGACGAAAAGCTTTTCGAGAGGACGAGTGCAAGAGAGGAAGACACCACGACGAGTTTTTTTCCCTTCAAACGCGCTTGATAACCCAAGCCATATTGCAGAGCCGAGGCCATTTTTCTTTAAACATCAAGCAGAACTTTCATTTATTCTCCTGAAGGACTGGTAATAGAGTCAACGAATATAGAATAAAAATCCTTGCAACGAATTTTTTTTTTTAAATCAATTAATTTGGCTTAGGTGCACCAAACGATCCAATGGCCTCGCTTTACGTTGGTGATCTCCAATCGGACATCACCGAAGCTATGCTTTTTGAGAAATTCTCAACTGCTGGACCGGTACTATCAATTCGTGTCTGTCGTGATGTCATTACACGTAGATCCCTTGGTTATGCCTACGTGAATTTTCAGCAGCCGGCTGATGGTGAGTATATCGTGACAGTCACTTGTTAGGGAAATTTTTCAGGCTATTTTCAGGAGGAGGAATAAGGTCTTGAGTGGCGAGTGGACGGGTGGCCATTTTATCTTGTGGAACGTGCAATGTAGACACGTGGGGCAACCATATTGGACGCATGGCCACACGTACAAAATCCTCAAGACCTCTCTAAAATCCTCCCTCTAATAGATTTTCTACGTTCTCATTTTTTTTCCCAGGTTCAAGACCCTTTTTTACCCTCTTTTGTTTTTCCTTCATACTCCAGAGACTCTTTGTTCTTGAGGTTGAATCATTATGTCAGCCATCTTTGTGACGTTTCGCGTGACCATGATTCATGTGCGTGAGATAAATTTTCCCGGTAATATGTATAGAAAAATGGAGGATTTTATTTCCAGGGAATTTCATATGTTGGGTGGAAAATATCCCACAGCGGTTTTTCAGGGAATACAAGAATTTTGAGGATTAAGTATTTACGAGCTCTCGGTGGGATGATGTGGCAGGATCGCGTGTTGAAATAAATTCAGATTTTCAGAGCTCATTATATCGATAATATTGAAATGTTTGAGAAATTGCTGAAAAATATTTTTTATGGAATATTTAATATGTTGAAAAAATGTGCATCGGGTTTTCTTGTAAAAATCAATGGTTCTCATATCGATCCCCCACCATGTGGTTGATGGTTTGGGGTTGGTGAGCATGAGGGGAAGGGAAAAGGGAGGGTGCAACGTAAATTCTCCCTGGGGGATCTCGCCAACTTCAGGGACAGCTCCTGAATATTAAATAAATGTGTGGGATATTGCCATTGCTTTTTCTGTATCGATGTTTCTTTGTTAATAATTATCGAAATATTTTTTAATGGAAATTGGAATTGGAATTGGAGGATTATTCGATTTGGAAATTGCCTCGACTTTGAAACCGCACGTTCTCGAGATAAATATATGATAAACCATGATTTTTTGTTTTACATTTCCATAATTTTATTGCTCGTGTACTTTCACCACTGATTAACTGCCGAGAGGAATGATTTTTTTATCAGAAATTATGAGTGAGAAGCACCTTTACTCCCATAAATAATTCGAAACGAGGAGAGCGTTGAAATTCATTCGGAGAGATTTTTTAAATTGGCTAAAAATGGGGCAGAAGATGCTCAAAAGAAAATGATCGATTTGTTGAATTTTATTTGATTTTTCACAGCCGAGCGTGCTTTGGACACTATGAACTTTGACATGCTGAAGGGACGTCCAATCCGTATAATGTGGTCGCAGCGCGATCCATCACTTCGTAAATCTGGAGTCGGCAACGTCTTCATCAAGAATCTGGACCGCAGCATTGACAATAAAGCCATGTACGATACATTCTCGGCATTCGGTAACATACTCAGTTGTAAAGTAGCGCAGGACGAGACGGGTGAGTCTAAAGGATATGGTTTCGTTCATTTCGAGACGGAAGAGGCTGCCAACAAGTCTATTGACAAGGTTAACGGTATGCTGTTGAACGGCAAAAAGGTCTACGTTGGTAAATTTATTCCCCGCAAGGAACGCGAGAAGGAGCTCGGTGAGAAAGCCAAACTCTTCACAAACGTCTACGTCAAGAACTTCGGTGAGGACATGACTGACGACAAACTCAAGGAAATGTTCGAGAAATACGGAACAATAACCAGCTACAAGGTGATGGCTAAGGACGATGGCAAGTCTTGTGGCTTTGGATTTGTTGCCTTTGAAGATCCTGAGGCAGCTGAACAGGCAGTACTGGAGCTGAATGGCAAAGAAATAACCGAGGGCAAGTACATGTACGTGGGGCGAGCTCAAAAGAAAGCAGAGCGTCAGCAAGAATTAAAACGTAAATTCGAGCAGCTCAAGATTGAGCGTTTGAACAGATACCAAGGAGTCAATCTGTATGTCAAGAATCTCGATGATACAATCGACGATGAACGTCTCCGCAAGGAATTTACCACTTTTGGTACTATAACATCAGCCAAAGTGATGCTGGAAGATGGTAGAAGCAAGGGCTTTGGTTTCGTCTGCTTCTCAGCACCTGAGGAGGCAACAAAAGCCGTGACAGAGATGAATGGACGTATCGTGGGTACCAAGCCTCTCTACGTAGCTCTGGCTCAACGTAAGGATGAGAGAAAGGCGCATTTAGCCTCTCAGTATATCCAGAGAATGTCGAACCTCAGGATGCAGCAGATGGGACCAATGTACCAAGCAGGTGGTGCTGGTAATTTCTTCGTGCCGACATTACCTCAACCCCAGAGATTCTATGGACCAGCACAGATGGCACAGGTTCGTACCACGCCGCGATGGCCAGCACAGCCCAGTCAGGTGCGTCCAAATGCACAAACTGGAAGCTCTGGATTTACTACAATGCAAGGATTCAGGGCAACTCCGAGAGCACCGCCAGCACAGCCCGGAGCCATGCGAAATGCTATGTCTGCTCGTCCTATCACTGGTCAACCAACCGCAGCTAATATTAATGCTCAAGGGAGAGCCATGGCTGGAGCATCCGTTGGTGCTTCACCCTCGCAGAATAGAGCACCTAATTTCAAGTATAATCTCAATGTTAGAAATCCTCCACAGTCCATGGCCATGCCTCAATCAGCACCTGTTCAGCAAGCTGTACATATACAGGGACAAGAGCCACTTACTGCATCGATGCTAGCTGCTGCTCTGCCTCAGGAGCAAAAGCAAATGCTTGGGGAGAGATTGTTCCCACTTATTCAATGCATGTATCCTCAACTTACTGGTAAAATAACGGGAATGCTCTTGGAGATTGATAATTCTGAGCTGCTTCACATGCTCGAGCATAATGAGTCACTCAAGGCTAAGGTCGAAGAGGCGGTCGCCGTACTGCAGGCACATCAGGCTAAACAGGCCGTCAAGAAAGAGTAAATTGTTGCTCCATTGGAACAATTTTTTACTCTACTCTTACTTTTTTCCATTTATCTTTTTCCTTTTTTATCGAGAGGATTTCTTTTTTTTTTCTCAAGTCAGTTCTGATTTTGTGTTTTTTTTTTCGGTTTCTTTCTAAGGCAGAGTGGGTGATTCTTTTTCTTTGGAAATTGCGGCGAAAATCTTTCTAACAACTACCTCTCAAATCAATTGTAGTGAATTATGTTTTTTTTTTATCAGTTCGGTTTTCTTTTTCCTTTTGAAGATATCAAGTTTCCTTTATCGTTTACTTTTATCATTCAAGCGATTCATTATTAAATACAATGAGAAAATACAACTGTGAAACTAAAGGAAATAAAATGAATACTTTTGTAAATCAATGTTAACTAAAAAACGGTGAAAAATACTAAAAAAAAGAGAAAAATCAGTTTAATCGGTAAGGGGAGAGAACGATTGTACGAGAGGTTTTTCTTCAAGTTTTATGGATAAAATAATTTTTTTTTCCTTTCGAAAGTTGTTGCTGTTTTATTGACCTGTCCCTCTCCCTAGTATTCATCATTCTATCGCTCTGAAATGAGATAATTATTCGAATAGTATATTATGCAACAAGTGCGTGAATTTTGTGGCCCATGGGAGTTGATCCCACGAGTGAAAAAATCGTAAACGCAGTCTCAGTGCAAAGAAATAACCAGAAATAATTTCTGTGAAAGGAATGGGTTGAGAAATGGGAAGGATAATTAAAAATTCGATGACACATTCACTTGTATTCTTTTATTAATCCACATATTTATTCAAGTACGATTCAAGTTACATTGATCTTGATACCCAGGCATGAAACAATTTATTTTAATTGTCAAGTAAATCAATTATTTCCGCACGTCAGTTACAAATTGAGGAATCAGTTTTAGGGAAATGAAAATTAAACTAGTTGTAATGAGAATCAAGAATTGACAGGCCTGCCAGCAGAATCGTGACATCTCTAATGATTTAAAATAATTTTCGTAATTATGATTATTAACAATTTTCATTCGACGAATTTATGGAATAAAACCCCGTGGAAACTAATCGATAATCGGAGAAGAAATAATTTAATAAGTTTACTGTTAGTAACGAATGTGGAAAGATTAGTCACTTAGACAAATAAATAACAAGAAAAATTAAATAATTTTGAAATTCAATTACACGTTCAATT